AAATTGAAAACAAAATAAATGAAGTAAAGGATAGCAAAAAAATAATGAAAAAAATGAGGACCAAAATTTTAAAAAATACAATTCTAAAAGATAAGATCAAAAAAATAAAATAAATGCAACGGATGAAAAAACAACAATAAAAAAAATAAAGATCAGATTGTAAACAAATTAAATTAAATGTAAAGAGGGATGGAATTAAAAAACAAATTATAACCAAAGCTAAATAGTATGAGAAAATCACTATCAATCAAAAGACATTTCATCATAAATTGTAATAATAATTTCATTTTTAATTGATATTTATTTGATTTTTTTTCTTCTTATTCATTGCTTTTTTTCTCACTTTAGCTCCTTAGGTTTCACTATATAATGAAATTAAATATATATAATTTAGTATTGTTTTAATAACTATAAAATAATGTTGTCATCCATGAAATATCACAAAGAACTAACCATCAAATAAACCTTTTTTTGCATTGACTTTGATTAAAAAATGAAATTCATAAAAAGAAGAAAAAAAAAAGAGAAGATAAAAAAGAGAAGATAAAATTTCTATTTAAGAAATAAAAAATTCATTAAAAAAATTAACTATTTTAATATAAAGAGATGGTTTGAATTTTTAGATCTAAAACATTAGATTAAATCTTTGTGATGATTTGGTATTTATAAATAACTTCTAAACTTAAATTTATGTTTACAATACTTTAAGGATAGTGTAAATTTTTTTATAAAAAAATAAAAAAATTACAAGTCTCAACAAATTATCAACTACTTAGACCCAAGATGTCAATCTGGTATGGTTGTCAAGTCCATGTGCTTGGATCATGTCAGACCCATACATTGAGTTAAAAAATATATAGTTAAAAAAATAAAAAGATAGAATTTTTATTGAAAAAATAGTAAATTTATAAACATAAAAAATGAATTATTTCAATAAGAAGAAATGACTTGAATTTTTAGATCTAAAACATTAAATTAGATTTTTGTAATGATTTATTGTTTATAAATAATCTCAAAACTTGAATTTCTATTTAGGATTTTTAAAGAATAATTTAAATATTTTTTTATAAAAATAAAAAAAATTATAAGTCTCAACATTTTAATTATCACCTATTTATACTTAAAATATTCTCTATATTTTCTTTTACATTTGAAAAAAAAATTAATATTGACTCATTACGAAGTGCGAGATAATATACTACTAAATTTCAAAAGCATTAAAATTAAAGTAAATAAAAAAATAAAAATAAAATTCAAACCAGATATAAAATATAAAATAAAATAAAATTTTTAAACGCCTGACATGAAAACCAACATCAAAGAGAGAAATAAAAGGCATGAGAAAAACCCTCATTACAGACAAACTGTTGTCAGCCTTGGAGTATGCATCACTCTAATAGCTGTGTTATATTTTTGTGTATTGTATGAAAATGGTGATCGAGATTTTTTGCCATCATCACATGTATCTCCTAAATAGCATAAAAGACCCTAATGCGTGAGTGACCCGTGCTAACATATTTTATTAATTTATTAATATTTTAATAAAATAAATTACAAAAAAAATTAATTCAAGGGCATCCCATTATTACAAAACAACCATAGCTCAAAGACCAAAACTCCCTCGTAAGCCAAAGATCAACAGCACAATTTTACTGTACAAAAATAGATGCTTTGAATGACAAGGGATAGCATTCTAGAGTCATTATTTACACAAAACAAACAAAAAGTATACATGGTAAGTTTTCGTTTACAGATAGCATAAAAACAAAAAAATGAGCAAACGACCTTCGTAGATCCAGTCTTAATAGACTTTGCTCTTTTCCCCAAATATATATATATATATATATATATATATAAAAGGCCTCCATTCTTGGTCTTGAACTCCGCCCTTTCTCCTTCATTAGAGACAGGATCTAGAAAACGAACGTGCGTGTGAAAAGATTTGGCAGACCGTAGCAGCAAAAAAAAGGAACAAACAACAGTAGCAGCTGAAATGAAGGCAAGAAAGGGGAAAAAGATAGATGCAAATGCAACTCTTTTCCATATCCTTTGAACACCTTAATCAATTCATTGTCCTCCTACTTTACATCTTGAAGTCTTTCCTTGATGATATTAACTCCTTCTTTAAGGGTTTCTTAAGGATTAGAAAGTTGTTGGCTTGATAAGTTTTTTACTTCCTACGTTTCAAAAGTCTAGATGGGTAGTTTTGGTAACCTTTGGCTACAAGTCATCCTCTTTATGTTGCCTTCATGTCTCGATACCTGCAAGAGTATACAGAATTCAACACCGAAACTCGATCGTGATTCCTAGCTCTTCGTCCTGCACCATGAGAATTCATCAATTTCTCTAGTCGGTACGTTTTTCCATCTTTTATGATGACTAATTCATCAATGCACATGCCAGATTTCTTTGAATTTGTTATGAAAATATATAGAAGGAAAAAGGTCAGCACCAAATTTAAACGAAGGCTGGCAGAACTGTATCACAGAAGCTTTTCAAGTTAGCATTGTTCTTGAATTAAAGGGAGCTTTTTTTCTCGTGAGCATCATTCCATTTTTAAACCTCACCGGCCTTCAGCAGTGAGAAGTGCATCGCCTGCATGAGGAATACACATGAACTTGAAGAAGGTGGCCATAAAACAAGTACTGCAGCAAAGAAGTGCTTCAGCAAGAGGGAAACACAAAAGAAGCAAGTTGTGATGCATAGGGACAGTCGTCTCTTCTTGGTGAGTTCCTTTCTCTAATTTGTTCATGAATGTTATCCAGCAAAATTCAAAGTCACCTGGAAAAGAAAGAGGAAAGAAAGAATATAAGCTAGAATTCCACTTTTAAGATGTACAAGGGATAATATCATTGCAATTACCTGGTGGGGATATGCACAAGCCATGGCTGTTTCTCCCTTGAAGATTGCGTCCACCTTTCTCCGCGAAAAGACAAACTTCAGCATGATCTCTCTTTCCTTGAGCCATTTGAAAGTTATGATCGAGTGTGCTTAGCAACATAAAATGGTTTTTCTTTTCCAAAAGAAAAAACATCAAGATTACAGCTATTTAAAAAAAATAAAAAATAAAAACCATAATTATCTATAATAGCCATCTTAATATTTTATATTTGCGATAATTTAATTGTAAAATATTAATTTTATTTTATTCAAATTAAAATTACCATTAAAAAAAATTATTGATGACTAAAAGAATCTTTATACTAGATTTATAATATAAATTAAATTTATGAAAATAACTAAATATGAAAATATATAAACTCAATTTTAATATATTTTACATTGTTAAAAAGTGTTTGTGAATTAAAAAAATTATACTGTTCATGTTTTTCTTCATCCGGGAAATAGTGAAATTAATCTTGTATTGAAAAAGAACATTAAAATATGTTTTACAGACTTAGTAAAATTTTAAAAGTGATGAAAAAATATTGCATCTACACAATAAATTTCAGTTTTTATTTTTTATATTACTCTATTTGCCACTTTCCTTTTCTGTTTTCTCACTATTAAATTTCATATATAGAATCAAATATGAAGAGATGAGGGTTTCATTTCTCAAACTAAAATAATAGTTGTTTTTTATATTATTTTTTTATTTGAAAAAATAATAAAATAATATTTTTTATTTAAAAAATTTATTTTTAACATTAATATATTTAAATGATTTAGAATTATAAAAATATAATTTAAAATAAGAAAAAAATAAAAATATTTTTTTTTCATTTTAAAATAAAAATAAATAAAATCTAAGTAACTATTAGCTTTAGTTATTTGTATTAGATAGGCTATATACAAAGCAGAAAACAAGGCACTCCCACTTCTACTTAAGGCCATTGTGGAAACCCAAATGGCAGACATTATGATGTAACGGTCAAGAATGAATAAATTAAAAGGTTGGGATTAAGAGATTTGTTTTTTCTGTAATCTTAGATTTGAGTTCTTGGTTGCTCGTATAATAGTCATTATTTTAAAGTCTGTGAAATTAATCGTGATGCGTGCAAGTTGGCTCGGACACCCATATTAATCTAAAAAAAAAAATGAATAAATTAATTGCATGTATTCAAGCTCAATTTTCAATATATTCAATATTATTAAAAAAAAATTAATAATATAATTTTAACCAAGTTCTAAAAAATTATATAAAAAATATTTTTAATTTGTTAATAATTTTATTCAATATTAATTTAGAGTTAATTATGATGTTATTTAATATTTTTTTAAAAAATAAATAAAATAATCTCATTAAAATATTTTTTATAATATTTATTATATTAAAAATGGATCTCCAATATTCTCCTAGTTATCCATTTTTATTTTTATTTTTTTATATCACATCACCTTATCTCTTTATTCATTAAATCTTGAAACCTTATCATTTAGCTATTAGATTTCAATAAAATTTTGAATTGATTTTAACAAAATTAATTATTTTAAAAATATTTTAATATAATTATTATTATCAAAAGTAGTTGTTTGTATAATTGATATTATAAAATATAATTGAGTTCGACCATTATTGCTAATAACAATTTTATATAGAATATATATTGAAAAACACAATGTTTTATTTTTCAAATGCTTTTTAAATCTACATTATTTTTCTTAATTTTTTAATCAAATTAAGTTATTTTTTAAAAAAATATCATTTTTAAAAAAATTTTGTTATTGTGATATAATTTTATTTTTTTATTTATTAATGTGAGCGCTCGTGTAGTTTATATATATCTCAATAGGTTATATAATTTTTAAAATGAATAATTATATAAATCAGCAATATAATAGCATTAAAAAAATTTAAACTGATGGTTATTAAAATATAAATTTCAGATCACTAGGTAAACTATTTCTTAGTTATCTTATCTTTTTAAATAGCTATATATTAATATTTAAAAAAAAAACATAAAAAATAAAAGATGAACCGTTACACAATTAAAAAAACTACCTTAAAAGGAATCTTGGAAAACAAAAGTAGACGTGGTATTATATCTGTTTAAGGTAACTCATGATGTTCTGTTCTGTCAAAGAAACAAACAAAACCGAGAGAGAGAGGGGGGAGAGATTTATTTTTTTTTCATAAATACCTTGCCAAAAGCGCACAAATGTTTTCAGTATCAGCTGATAAGGCTAAATAGAGCATTCAAGATTTAGGGTTTCTTTGTTATGTCTGTTTGTTTGCTGCATAGGACTACAAGACTGACTAGAAAGCAAATTTCACCTCCTCCTCCTCCTGGTTTTGTTGCTAAGCCATTCCTTCCTTTGCATTTCTGGTAAGTTTCTATCTTTTTTAATGTTTTTCCTTTTTGTTGTTAAAGTTTTAGTTTTTTTAAGTTATGGTTAAATGGGGACTGAAAATAAAATTAGGGTTAGCAACCACCCTTACCTGTAGATGTAACGATTTTAAATTTTGTTTATGAGTGTGTGTGGTTTATGCATGTAGGTTGTTAAGAGGAGAGCTAAAGGAAAAGGATAAAATTAGGGTTTGAAATTTGGAAGAATGGAGAAAATGTAGGTTAGGGTGTTTGAAATTTGTGATTTTGAGTTATAAAGCACCACTCTTACTCTTTTCATTGTGAATTTGAACTTGTTGGGTCTTTAAAAAGGTGGGGTCTTTTTGTTAGGATTTTATTTGGGAACGGGAGTCTTATGGTTTTTTTAGGTATGCTGTATGTGTTGTGTGTAGAATCAGAGATGAGTAATAACAAGGACAGCGAGGTTGGATCAGAACGGGAAGTGCCTGGTACTTTAGAGACACAGCAGCTGGTTGATGCACAAGAAGCCCCTGTGGAACAAGCTGATAATCCTTGTCCTTCTAATGCTGATGCTGTTGATATCCCTTTGGAGTTGAATTCCAGTCTACAGCAATCCCACCAAGATTCTGCTCTGCCAACCCCATTAGATGATAAAAGAAGCTTAGTCATGCCTAAAGTTGAATCTGCGAAAGATGTCAAACCCAATGGAACATATAATTCGGAACCTGAAACATGTGCTGGCGACGGCATTTCTATTTCAACTAGTCATGTTGAAACTGCTAAACCCACTGTAGATGCTGAAATAAAACCCTCTGACATGCAGGGTGCAACTGGTCATGATACTTGGGCAGTTGTTAAGAGGAGTAATGAACCAGATGTGCCTCAGGCTGGATCTTCAGACGATGAGGCAAAAGGTGATAACAAGAGAGGATCAGATGATGCAAAGAATAATATAGATACGCCTAGTCCCAAAAGTAATGGAAACTCTACACCTAGGCGTACATTTCTTTTGGATGAAAATAGTGGTGGTAGTGAATCAGGTACTGAAGAGGAGCAAAATGATTTTCTGAGTGAGCTTCATAGTTTCTTTAGCGAGAAGAGCATGGAGTTCAAACCTCCTAAGTTCTACGGAGATCTCCTAAACTGTCTTAAGTAAGTTTATAATGACTAACACTACCAAATTTCATGCTGTTCATTTGAGAATAATGAATTTTTCAGAGATGCATTTTCTAATATGTACCTTCTTATGGTAACAAGGCTGTGGAGATCTGTGATGAGATTGGGTGGTTATGACAAGGTACACATTGTCTTATCCATGATTCAAAACCATTTCCATTTTTGTGTGCATCTTAAATTAACTTCTTTGTTAGTTATTAGTTGCACTTGGTTTTTGTTGGTGAACTTAATAAACTCAATTATAGTAGGGCTAGGGTTAAGCACAATAACCCACGCAGCATGAAAACACATTACTGTGCTTTTGTGTACACATAAATTTGGAAGTTAATTTTATGGAAGCAGAGTCATGCTTTGATGTTACATAGATAGGAAATTTTAAAAATTGTTGCTAGCTACTGGGTGAATCTTACTTATAAGCAAGTGGTGTTTCTCATTCATATGTTTTATCAGAATATCTTACTTAAAAGCGATTTTGATAGGTTTTTTCATGAGATTTTAGCTGATCTCTATCGTTATAATGTATCTGGCTTCTTTCTGATTGGCAGGTGACCTCATGTAAGCTGTGGAGGCAAGTAGGAGAATCTTTTAATCCCCCAAAGTAAGGAACAATATATGTTGCCATATGTAAATATAATAGTTCAAGCTAGTTATCTATTGTTGCAAGATCAAGCATTTTTCATGTGTTTAAATTCCAGAGTATCTTGCATTTATTTTCTAGCAGCTTTCTTAAACTAGCATGTGGAGAAAAGTCATGAAAATGTGGATTCGAAAAGGTATGGCACATGTGTGCTGTCATCAGTGATAGTGAGGAACCTATCCAATTCCATGAAACAGTTACTCGGATTGGAAGATCTAACAATAATAGATCCTGTTAGCTAAGTGCAAACATTAAAATAACTATTAAAGAATACTTAGTGCTTTCCAACCGACACATTATCTTTATTATGGGTTGTAAGAAAAAAGTTCATGGGGGCATCTAAATATAAGATTAGAAGATCAAAATCATTGTTTGCACACTTGTTTTGTTAGCTGAAGCCAATTTAATTTTTTTTTAATTAGTAAGCAATTGGATAGTACTTGTATGAAAACTGATTGGACATAATTGTTAAGACAGAGTACGTCTGAGGCCATTGCCCAGAAAGTGTGATGTGAAGAATAATCTAGGACATATGAGCAAGAATTTCAGGGAATAGTAAATGACGGCAGGAGAAAAAATTAAATCGTTAACTCCTTAGCTGAATTTTTTTCCCGAATCAATCTTGATTTGGAAATGCCTTGGTGTATCTTAGGTGCAAAACACTTCACATGAAAAGGTATTAGCTATATTGACATGTTGCAGAAAGTCAGGAATTCTGGAAACTCAGATTGATTTTCATGATATTGCTTTATATGACCTCAATAAGACTTGTGATTTAACCATGTATCAAATGACATCCCCACATGCTTATCATGTTCCCTTTGTTTCCAGAACAAGTGTTCCTTATATTGTTTGTCTATATTTTAATGTCTTCCCATCCTTTTTTCTGCTGCTTTTGCAGGACATGCACTACAATTTCGTGGACATTTCGAGGGTTTTATGAGAAGGTGATTATATGGTGATAAAATGCACATGTATCACTGAAACTTGTCATTCTTTTTGCATTCTATTTCGTTAATTGCTGCTTGGTACATGGTTTGAATTCTCCATAGATCTGCATGTGTGTGTAGATTTAACTATATATACATGTTTATGTTTTTGGTATATGATCATGGAGAATGGCGCAAAAGGGTCCATATAACTAACCCCAACTAGTTTGGGTTGAGGTTTGGTTGGTGGTATTGTATACGTGTTTGTAGTTTATTATATCAGCCAGGCATTATGTTCCTATTCATTGAGTTGGTGTTTTCGAGTATGTTTGCTAATGTGATAAGATGTTATACAATATACTGAAAGAACTGAATTTTCTTATGGTGCTTCCTTTTTTTGCCTTTTTTTTAAAAAACAATTTCGTCCTCGACTATTTTTCCCTATCATTTTGTGGTCTAATCCCACGAGAGAGTTTCAATTATAGTAGAAAGACAAAATTTAAACTAAGAGGGCCACAATATAAAACATAGAGAAAATCCATAGTCAATCTCAAAGTTTTTAATTTTTAATTTGATCCTAATGTTTATTTTATTATTTTTTTAGTCTTTGGGTTTCGAGAAAGGAGATAAACTTGTTGAAAAAAGGTGAAAGGTTGTCGATTGAAACAATCTGGCCACAAAAAAATAGACTTTTATGCAATGGATTCCATTCGATAAGAGGAATTCAATGAAGGTGGTTTTTCCTTGTAAACATGGTGAGAAAAGTACATCAAAGACAATTTTGGAGTGTTTCAGAGTTGATAACTGGTTATGGAGGAATTTATGGTGCTTTTGAGGTGTTTTTAGATGAAAATGAGTGAAAAAATTCCAGATGGACTTCCAGGGCGAGTCACGCCTAGCCTGTTTTTGTTATTTTTCTTTAATTTAAATTTATTTTTTAAAATTAATTATTAAAATATTATAAATATATTAAATTATTAAATTAATTAAGAATACATTAAAGATATTATTTTATTAAATATCATTCAATTTTTACTTTGTTTTTGAACAAGAGCATAGCAATCTTTTTATAATATTAGCAATCTGTTTTTATAGCATCATTATTTAAAAAAAAAAATTATCCAGTTGCTTTTGTTTGGCAGGGGATCTTAATAATCTGTTTTGAATATAGTCTGATGGTTAATTTAAGCTTGTCTCGATGATTGAGAAAGTAGAGGCAATGTGTTTTCTTTTTAAATAGTAAAAGAATAAGGCCATGTCATTATTGTGGTGCATAAGTACCTAGAATGCGAATGTGCTGCTGGAATCAAGTCACGTGGAGTTGACAAGTTTCACAAGTAGATCAACTTACCTGCTATATAACTTGAACATCTATCAAAAGCCTGAAGTTATCACTGTTTTCTCCAATTTGTTGGTTATCCTCCTTTGGCTACAACTTTTTGCTGATATTTGGTGTTTTGTTGGCTTGTGTAATGAATTTTCTGTTTAAATTATGCATCTATAATGGTGCATGTGCTTCATCAGGTACTACTTGATTATGAAAGACACATAACAAATGCTGGTGAGCTTGACATCCCCATTGCTTCCAAGTCTGAGCCCAAGCAGCTGAAGCCACCCAAGCTGTCCAGGTCAGAGCCTGTGCATGTTGACAATCAGGTAAATATCAAAACTTCCCATTCAATAGATATCCTAGCTTTGTGATACCTCTTGTTTACTGTTTGGTGATGTTATTTTGTTAGTACCTTGTAAACTGATTATAGATCAAGGTGAGTGGAGAAACATTTGTGGTGTTTTATTTGATAAAATGAGATTTTTTTTAAACCCGAGGCATCCTCTTAAGAAAAAGATCAGCCTTCTGAATTGAATTATGTTGAAGTAATTTGAACTAAATTTTACTGGTGGCTGGTCATTCTGAGAGTTCATTGGTTTTGAGAATATTTTTCAATAGGCCATTAAATGCAAAGTTAAAATAGTGGTGGAATCAGATATAGTACATAATCTATATCTGGCTCTATAATTTGTGACTTGTGAACATGAATTTCTTTTCCAGGCTGACATGATGGCGCCTTGCATGTCATACCCTTTTATTTATTTATTTTACAAAAATGTATTAACAATAAGAAATGTTATTGATATACAGTTCAGCATTAAGTTCCTGTGAGAGTCTAATGAAGAAGGGGACTTTCCTAACTTGTATGAGAAGTTTAAGAATCAGTTTCCCGCTCAATTTATTTTACTCAAACTCCCAAATACTACTTCAGGGCATTGGAAAACCTATCTATTGGGGACTCTCCTAGCACCGTTATCCATTCAAGAACCCTTCTAGAACTGGGCCCTAGAACTGGGCATCTAATTTACTCAGGAATAACTTTACCAGCGGCAGGACATACCTGGTTCCGAAGTGGGTGCAGTCAACGTGAACCCTGCCTAACCTTCTTTTTTTTTCTTTTTGAAGTTTTACCCTGATAATATACTTAAGAGCTTTTGCTCATTTAAGATGCTAATTTCTTTCTTCTTTTTCCTCCAAAAGCTTTAAGCACCCTTTTTTCTTCATTGTTGTCCTTTGCCTACATTCTCTTTGCTTGGTGATATTCAGGCTTCTGGATCGGGTAGAACTCGTAGGGATGCTGCTGCACGTGCAATGCAGGGTTGGCACTCACTTCGTTTTCTTGGTAACGGCGAAGTTAGTAGCCCTATCATTAAGGTCTGTTGAAATCATATTGAGCATATCTCTATTTTTTTTTTTCTTAATGTGTTTGTGTAACTGGTGTTTACAGTGATGTATCTGTATTTTGTAGGACAAGAATACTGTACATGTGCAAAAGCGTGAGAAGGAGCTAAAAAACATTGGTAAGAAACAGGTTTTATCAATTTCTCAATTTGTTACTTAATTTGTTTGCAGCTTAAACAAGTTTTCAAATTTGGACCTTTTGGCTCAGGTTTACTGAAACGCAAGAAACCATCTTATGTGGAACATGCTGTCAAATCTCCACGCACCAAAAGTGCACGGTTAAGATTCTTGTTACCCAGTTTATTGCATTTACCCATTGGTATCAAATATTTGCTTTGCTTCGAAACAATACTGGCATTGATTTGAATGGCTTGATTTTTTTACCAGATTGGATGTGGAGGTGACTGATATTGGAGCCCCAGCTGATTGGGTGAAGATCAATGTACAGAAAACAGTAAGTTCTCGCATGTTTTGTCCCCCCCCCCCCAACCCAATTTAGCAAGCAATGCAGAAATCTGTACTACTTATAACTTCGAATGAACAATTGTCTACAGAAAGATAGTTTCGACGTGTATGCTTTAGTTCCAGGTCTCCTCCGTGAAGAAGTGAGTACTTAAATTCTTGTTTCCCTATCTTTATTTTTTACTTCACTCGTACACATGTTTTACTCGTTTTATTATAGAAAACAATCTGATGTCATTTAGCAGTGTATTTAGAAAATTCTTGCCTGACTAGAAAGCCCCCCCTTAACTTGCCTGGTTTGATGTTATTATTTAAGCAGAACCTGAGGGTGCCAAGGCCATTTCTATATGCTTGGTGAACTGCTTTACATTATTTATAGATTGTGGGCTCCTAGTTTCGTGTACTACCCACCTTATTGAGACGCCCTTAAGTATGAATTGATGAAGATTCCAACTTCTCAATATACTCAATTTCAGAGATATAAGAATCTGTCTGCAAGATTGGATGTGAATGGACAATTTTTGTGATGACTTAGTGAAATTGAAACTGGTTTCAATTCAACTCATTGCTTTCTAGTCAATATATCACTCTTTCATTGAAACTGTAAACACCAGCACGGCGCTTGTTATTCTGCAAAATCAGGTTGAGACATTTATGAACTTGTTATTCTGCAAAATCAGGTTCGGGTTCAATCAGATCCAGCAGGGCGCTTGGTTATCAGTGGTGAACCTGAGCATGAGGATAATCCTTGGGGTGTCGCACCATTCAAAAAGGTACGTGTGCCTTTTCATTTTGTAATGCCTGTTATTTTCCATGCTAAGGTAGAGTATATGAAACAATCCTCGCAGCATGTCTCATGGTTTTAGCTGTTGAGGAACAGCAAACATTTGATTACTGTACTCATTTAAGACTTGTTAAACATTTCCATTTCTTTATGAAGTCACTAAGATTAGCATTGTTTTCAGGTTGTCAACTTACCCTCGAGGATTGATCCACATCAGACAACAGCTGTGGTAACCTTGCATGGACAATTGTACGTCCGTGTCCCATTTGAGGAGTCAGACTGATCAGTTGAAAAAGGTCTATGCCTCTTAAAGACACAAGCGAATTGCCATTAGGGCAACGAAGCTAATTGTTGGAGCTGGATGGATTTCAGACATGGTTGTAATTGCCCTGTGTTAGATTAGTACTTAACCGTGTTGATACTATCCAGGTAGGAGGCTTTTTTTAATTCAAGTTATCCATGGGACGTGTTATATGTTTTTGCTTGTGAGCTTTATCCATATCGAACTTTCATATTTTCATAATGTTATTGCAAGTTTCTCTCTGTTTTCTTTGCTAAACTTTTACTGTGACCATCCAAATTGGTATATTGATTTTCATAATGTTATTGCAAGTTTCTCTCTGTTCTCCTTGCTAAACTTTTACTGTGATCATCCAAATTGGTATGTTGAATTATCCCTTCATGTTGCTTCTTTAACAGGATTAGGATTGATTATTAGCTACTCTTTAAAAATTTTACCTCAAGGCTTTTCTTCTATATTTCAAGCTCATGGTTCCCCCCGAAAAAATGACAATAAAAGGGCATGAAGTCAGCCCTGACATCAATCCTCGATAATAACAGCATACAACGGCAAGGCATGTTGCACAGCAGATCTTTTTATGGCTACTTTGTTGCTTTGATGTTGTGTTGCTGGTGCTAGAAAGAAATATGTTATGGTAAGCTACGAATCGCAAACTACGCAAAATTTGCCATTTCGCTAGGGAATGTATGCATCAGAGAGAAGAACAAAAACAAGAAATGGACAAAAATTATGCAACAAAAAACCACTATAACCACTCTGTTTGAGGTTACATAAAATTTTATACGGGTGTGAAGGGCACCAACAGGAGATTCCTCTGTAGCAATAAATATTTTTTTTTTTTTAACAATGAAGTAATAAATAATAGAGACGGAAAAATCATGGAGAAAATACTTGTAGCTCCAAATTATCAGATTTCCTACATTGAAAAGAATAAAATAAAATAAAAAAAACACTGGTCACCATTGAGTGGGGTGAAGACCTTTAAGTTGAGGTCACCATTGATGCCAAGTCTAATTCTTCATCAGAGTCGATCACATCTTTGTAATCATAATAAGCATTCACCTGCAATGAAGAACGTATTTAGGAGTGTGTTTGTGCAATGGGTAGCTAATTAAAGACTATCTTACCATTCTGCAATTTATAATTGAAATTCATACCGCTGGTCTTGGAGTAATTGCTTCAAAACTAAGGAACTCGGGATCATCAAAACAGGGGGGTTTTAGGACAATATATGCTCCTTTATTCTTGTATCTTTCCTCGGTTGCCTTCAAAACAAAATGATTTGTAACAAAAAAAATATTAAAAGAAGCGAAGTGATGTTAAATTTTGCTTGGTCAATTAAATGATATCCATTAGTTTCATCTGGCAGCACGAGATACCTTGAGTGATTCAACCTATGCAGTAACGTTTAGGAACTTCATTCAAGTCTTCCATGCATCATTGACATCCAACAAAGTAACATGAGATGGAGGGACTATGTTTTACTTAAAGAAGACAAGCCAGATTGATTGTCTAATGTAGATAATGTCATTTCAAGAATACCTAATATGATTCACACAAATAAAAAAAAGAGTTTAACATGTCCAATATGCAGTGTTTCAAGATGTTCAAAATATCAAAACCAGTCAATCAAAAAGTCAAGTTTGGAAATCATTTCTACCAACATAGCAGACACTTTCTATATGAAAGCCAGGCAAAGAACATATACAAAAGCTTAACATCTCCAAACATTTAATCATTGCAAGATTAGGATACCACTGTGGAACCATGCAAAACTGTCTTTCCAGTGTAAGAGTTGAGATGTGTGAAATTTGAAAAGAGACCAGTACAGGAAAGAAGGATTAAAACAAAACCTGAAATTGTGGGTAGTCTGGAGCACTAAAGAGAGTAATAAGTTTTCCTGACGGTACAACATGATCTATGGTGTACCCTTCATCCATTCCTCCTAGACCGGGCCTCTTTTCCCTTGCATCGGGCCCTTCATGTGATCTGATGATTAGCTAAGGCAACAAAATGAAACATTAACTACATTTTCAATTCTTGAATATTAAAACATCACCTTATTCTTAGCATGAAGTGCTGAAATAGTGAAACATGACACCGATAAAGAATACAAGTAAAAACAAAGCATCTTTCTATGGTTCGTATATGCAGAAAATAGGCCAATTCTTATAAATTTTGTGATCACAAATTGCCACAAGCACCCTGAAGTAACTACCAATAATTTTCCTTTTCAACATAATGTCAAATTGGACCAGTATAATAATTGATACAAGTAGGGAAAAGGAAAAATCACATATGATTAGAAAGTTTCTTCTGATTCTGATTTGGGGATAGGTCATTTATTTTAAAAATCTATGATTGAAAAATTAGAAATTGAGCATTTGAGTAGGTAGTAAAATTTCTCAACAACATGCCAATAAAGAGAATTAAAAATGCCATGAAGAAAATTAAATGAGAATTTAAATTTGTACGACCTTCAGTTCGAACTTCTTTAAAAAATCTTCAGTACAATCAGGTCCCCATAACAAACCAATGCCTCTCTCTGTATTTGGTGAAAGTCCAGATTTCATTGTTGGATCTGACCATAACACATCTCCAGGAATTAAGTTCTGACCTTCCCATGGAGGGTCAAGAACCGATCTTCGAGCTTTGGATAACTCCTCCAAAGAACCAAGACATAATGGTTTGGTTTCAGAATTTAAAATTATCCTCCGATTTTTCTTTCCCTTTGATCTCTTTGATGGGGTGATGGACTCACTGCGGAAAAGTCCTCCGTGAGCAGTATATACACGCCCAGCTATAACAGAGGCCAAGGGAAGGCCTTCAAAGCATCCCAAACACTTCCGATAGACATGCTTACCTTTATCACCATACTTTGCCAAAACTTCTTTCTCAAAACCATATACAGATGTACAATACTTGGATTCATGATTGCCGCGAAGGAGAAATACCCTTTGTGGCAAAAACACCTATGCAAGATACCAATTCATAAACATTACTCAATTAACAAAAAAAAAAAAAGATTGAGTTTAAAGTAAGAGGTTGTAATTTATATCCTCAAGAAAGAAAAGGAGAGATCGAGATAAACATTCATGCATGGAACTTGGACATTTAGCAAACAAATAAATGACTACTTAAATGAAGCAAGCACCACCAGCACACAACATCTCTAGCAACTTAGCAATATGAAGTTGATATACAACTTGAATTTTTTTCCTGCAGATGTTCAATATAAGGTCTAGAAATTAATATATACCTTATTCAAGATAGCAAGATCAATACTTTCTCTATGTGTGTGTGAGTACAACATCGAAAAAGACTACAATGATAAACAAATCAATACAGCAAAATCTGCTGTGTCCTAACAATTCTTTTTTATCAAAAGAAAATATCAACCTTAAATTGTCTTAAGATTGCACAAATAGTCCAGAAACATTAGAAACTTAGTATAATGTGGCTTACAGCTTAATAAGAAGTGGGCATGTGGCACCTCTAACAAGAAAGGAAAGAGGCCATTTAGTTATAATCTAAATACTTAGTTAAAATGAGCCTAAAATAGTAGGAAGAAAAGGAGTCTTTTAACAAGGGATTTTTTTCACCTATTCACTCTCACACACTCACCAATGACATTTTCTCTATCCCTCACTGAACCACGCCTCTTCTCTTCACTCATGGAACCAGTCAATTGATCCCTCCCTCCATCATCTCCTCCAAGGCGTATCTGGTTGAAGCCTGGACCAGTTGCGATATGAAAAACCCATTTGATGGTCTTATACAGTGGTTCTGTTTGTCTACCTTTGCTTGAGCTGCAATATTCATATCTGCTTAAGGCTTCTAAGGATGGAGTTCTAAACTCTTCCCAGGATCCATTCAAGATCACTTGCTATCCTTCATGATCCAATTTAAGGTACTTACTTTGCATTTAAGGTACTTACTTTGCCATGTCACGACAGTTACTTGATGGTAACATTACTATGCATAATTGCCGAACAATTGTGATTCCCAACATTAACGTCTTTTATGTGATATTAAGAAGAAATTCTCCTAATATATCTAGATTCTCAGCTGGGCTATATTTACTTGATACAAACTCATGATTTTCATAGTAAACAATGGATATGAAGAAAACCACACAACAGTGTTTGAAAGAGCTTATAAACTAAACTGCCACATTTCTCCGAATTCGAATACCTTTTAGCTTCCCATTATCAATTATTATTACATTTTTGTTGTCATATAGTGTCATAGATAACTAACTTAAGAATCAGAACAGTCACATTTCTCTGGATTCAAAAACCTTCAAGCACTCTTTAGCGTCAAATTCATGAAAAGAAACTAATACGAGAAAGAAAAAAATTTCCATTGATTTGTGTGTGTGTGTGTGTGTTAACAGAATTCTTGAATTACAATGAACAGTAGTGTTTTAAAGAAAATAACCTTCCAAGCCAACAAGAGCAAGAAATTCTCAAGGCCCCAAGCTCCTCGATCAACATAATCTCCATTAAACACAAAAAACCGATCTTCACAAGGAAACCCAGCATCTTGCAACAAAAACATAACATCATGAAGTTGCCCATGAACATCTCCTACAACAACCACTCTAGAATTTTCATTACAATCATCAATTCTAACACAATTAGGCTCTTTGTGCAGAATTTTCGAGGCGGTGAGGACTAAAGCATCAAAGACGGAAACAGGGAGGACTGAAGGGAGTTCAGATGGAGGGAGGTTTTTGGAAGACCAATCAAAGGAGGAAATGAGGTTTTGGATCCAGTCGAGGGTGACGGAAGAGTTCGAAGGCCACGAGAGAGGAATCTGAAAAGGCGGTTGTGATGGACCTTCTGGGATGGACGTGGTTGTTGTGGTGGTGGCTTCTTCTGGTGAATTGGTGGCGGCGGGTTCGTGATCTGACGGACAGCCAGATGGCAATGAACCTGACATGGTCTTTTTTTCTTGCTTTCGAAACTATTGCCAGTGTCTAAAAATTAAGGATGTCTGTCTGTAGATTTGCTAGTCTCTGTTCAATCATTTTTATTTTTATTTTTTACTTTTTATACATTTTTTGTAATATTTTCAGACTTTTTTTTCATAAAATATATTTTTAAATCAATTTTTATATTAATTAAAATTAAAATCTCTTTTTAAGTAACTATAAAAAAAGTATTTTTATATTTATTTGATATATTTATATGTTAGATTTCAAGATTTAACCTCACTAAATTATATTAATATGTGTATTTA